ATTATATGAATTTAATTTATAAAAATTCATAAATTTAATATAATAATTTATTAAATTGTTATAAAAAAAAAATTAGATAATAAAATTTTATATATAAAAATATATTTTAATATGTATAAATAATATAATAATATATAGATTATTTAAATATAAATATATATATATATATATGAATATTTATATATATATATATATATATTTATATAAATTTATATATATGTATATAAATATATTTTTATCTTTTTAAATAATATTTATATATTAAAAATTTATTTAAATATATTTATTATTTATTAATTATTTTAATTATATATTTTTATAATATTAATATAAATATTTATTTATAATCTTATAATTAACATTAAATTTATAAGTTTTTATATTTTTTTAATAAAATAATAATATAATTACAACCATATTTTAATACATCATATTAATTTATATATAATCCAAAAATATATTTTTTAAAATAAAAATATGATAATTTTTTCAACTTTTTTATCCATTTTATCAATTTTTTTTTAATATTAGATATAATTATCTTGTAATATTTTAATTTAAATATTTTTAATATTCTTTAGTTGCATTCCAAGGATTTTTTCTGGTTTATTTATTACCACTCTAGAAATAGGATTTCATATGTATTTATAGGATATTGCAAGAGATATTGATATCGAAAAAAAATTAGTTTATAAAATATTAGTAATGGAATTTTTGGGATATTTTTATTCCTCGTTTAATGAATTTTCTATAATATTTGCAAATCCATATTACAAACATGATTTTTTTAAATATATATTACTATATGGAATAAATTGTATTTATATTTTTCTTACAAAAGTAAAAAAAATATTTATTTATATAAATAAACTCCACTACAATATTTTTATAAAAATAATAAATAGGGATATGAATTTAGAATAATTTCTTTTTCTATACATGCGATAATATATATAATTATTCTAATAAAATATTGGAAAAATAGAAAAATATTTATGGTTGCATTTAAAAAATATTAATATATATTACCAATGGATTCTGATACTTAGATTACATAATTAAATTATTAACAAACTCAAACTAATTTTTCCGCAAATCAGTATTTATTAATAAATAAAACATAAATAGAAAAAATCTAATTAAACCCTTAAAAAGAAATTATTTTTTAATATTCTTTAGTTGAGAATTAACAAATATTTATAAAATATTATTAGCATTAACAAATCATCTTGATACTCGATTAATAATAAAATTAATTCAAAGTAATTGAAGTCGAATAATTTAAAGAAATTTTAACTATCGCAAAAGAAAAAAAGTTAGTTTTTTAGAACATAATAGTAAGCCTTTGTTGGCTGTTTTTAGTGAAGCAAGTGATAATAAACTAGGAACATTAATAAATGTATATTTTATTATTTTTTATATTTTAATTTTTTTATACATTAAATAAGATATATGATATATAAAATGGAAATACTATTTAATCTTTTGGATTATCTCATAAAATTACAGAATAAAATTGTTTGCATTTATTTGACTCTTTTAATGTTGATTTTGATAGTAAAGTTGATAAAATAATTTTTAGTTATAAATAAATATTATGCTGTTTAGACATCGATTCTAAAAATAATGAATATCTTACTGAATAATTCTAACCTGAATCTTTTGTTTATAAAATAAATCAAAGAAGAATTATTGTTAGTGGGTAAATAAATTATTATTTTTAAATATTTTTTTTTTTAGAAAAGATTATTTCGCATAAATGTTTGATATCCCAACTAATTAACCTGTTACCATGAAATAGATATTTGCTAGTTATTCTAAAATAATACCTGTGGAAGGTTTAAACAATTTTTATTTTGTTTAACCTGGGTATCATAAAAAAATGGTTTATTTAGTTAGAGGATATGGAAAAGATTTATAAAAAATAGCTTAAATTGATTTGGGGAAACCAAATATTCTTTCAGCTATTTATTTATAAAATTAATAAGAAATTTATTTTGTCGAGAAAAAAAAATTAATTATATATAAAATTAAGATATAAAATATCAAATCACAAAATCAAGATTAATAGTAATTCAAAGATAGTATAATAATGATTGATTGATTTTTTTATAAAAAAATATTTAAATTTAAATATATTATAACTAAAAAATTTATAATTGATATATTAATATTTTTTTTTTTTATTTTTATTTTTAAAAATATTTTTAATTATTTTTTAGAGGAACTTTTATTTTATATATAAATTATGATTTATATAATTTTAACTAAATAAATTATTAATAATTTTATAAATTTTATATATTTAATTCATAAATAAAAAAAATTGTTAAATTAAGACTTTAAATTTAATTTATATTATTTTTCGTAATTTTATACAAAAACTATAAATTGAAATATAAAATTTTATTTTAAAATCAATAATACTAATAGTTAATTGAAATATATATATTTCTTATATGAAAATAATAAAATATATAAATAAAATTATAATTATTATTTAAATAAAAAATTTAATTTTCTTATTTAAATTTGTATTTCATATAATTAATATATAACAACCAAAAATAAAATAAAAAAATAAACATAAAAAAAACTTAACTAATGTTTAATTGTTAAGAAAAATTATAAGGAATATTAAGGCATAATCCATAAATAGAATCAATTGATCTAGATTTTGCGTAATAAATTAAATATTTAATTAAAAAAATATTATTAAACATAATTTTTATTTAAATATAAAATATAATCAAATAATTTATAAAAAATTCAAATACAAATATGAAATAAACAAAAATATATATCTTTTTTAAAAAACAAGAATAAATTAGATATTTATAAAATTTATTTAAACTTTGTTTTATATTTTTATTAAATTAAAAACTAAAAATAAGATAAATAGAAGATTTAACTGAACTATTACCTTTATTACAATAATTTAAAAATCTAAAATAATTATCATTACACGGAAACAGATTAAAACGACTTCCTGAAGACCTTTCAATATTATAAAATCTATAATATTTAGATATATCAAGCAATTAAATAAAAGACGTAAAAAAATAAAATAAAAATAAAAAAAAAATAAAAATAAAAGATAAATAATGTAATACCAGGTTTATAAAGTTTACCTAATTTATTAATATTGCACATAAATATAAACCAAGAATATGAATTTAATTTATTAGTCGAAAACTTACAATAAATCCAACAAATAAATAAAATCGACATAAACCAACACCAAAATAATCCAAATGAAAACGATGATTAAGAAAATGAAAACGAAGAACAAGGAGAAGATGACGATTAAATTGATCATTAATAACTGTAAGATAATTATGAAGAGGAAGAAGAGCATTTACCTTAATTTAATATTAGTAATACAGTTAAAAATAATATTGTAAATAATAATAATAATGTAAGTAGTAGTTAATAATAATAATTAGGATAAACTGAAATTACAGAATAAATATAAGAAATTACACTTAAATAAGAAGATCTGGAAAAAGTCGCTATTACATATGACGATATTAGAGAATTATATAGATTAAGCGAGCTTAATGTAGACCCTTAATTAGCTGATGAATTTGATGAGCATGTGAAAAATGTTATGATTGATCTTTCTAATAAATTAAAATAAGGATAACCTGAAAATATTGTTAATAATAATATCCTAAGGGCTAAATATGCTCTATATGATATTTGTTTTGCAAAAATAGTTGATTATCTAGCAAATGCTGATTCAAGGATTTCAAATATTTTATAAAATATAAGAGATGCACATAATAGTATATTTTATGATATGTCATGTAAATATAATATATATACAAATAAAAATGTTTTTTTATTTTTTTCAGAAATCACTATTATTCAGCCTAAATTTAAAAAAGAATTTGCGCCAGATTATACACTTTTAAAATAAGAAAATAATGAATTAAAACAAGAAATATAATAGTTAAAAGAAGAAAATCATAATTATTTACAAAAAATAATCAAAAATTCTAAAAGATAGAATGTAGACGAATAATTAACTTTAAACAATTAAAATTAAAAAGATTCTCCTAAAGGAGCTTTAAAATAAGTAAAAATAAAATAAAAATAATTATATAAATATAAATATATAGTAAAACTTTCCAAATAATTATTAAACCTTTTAAACTAAAATCCAATAATTACCATATTAAAGTTTCTAGTCTAGTAATATTGTAGGTCCTTCTACTATCCGTTCATTAACTGTTAGATAATTAAAAGAAACAATTGAGGAAATATACAAATCTAAACAAAGTTTTGATAAAAAATATTAGGAAGCATAGTTACCAAGGGAAACAATGGAGTAACATATGTATACTTATTTGAATTAGAAATATGGACTGAAAAATTTAATTATAGAATGGGCAGCAGCTTTAATAAATGGAATAAGAAAATTTTCTTCAGAAGATAATGATGTGGCAGTTTTTGGAAAAATCTTAAGGAATGAATGTGATGAAGAATTTAGATTTGTATAAAATTAAGTTAAAAATACTATTTAGGAATTATTAAAAATGTATTTAAGAGGCAAATATTCCTATAAACATGCAAATGATATAAAGGATATGCTAAATTAAAAAATTAATGGATGGATTTGTGAAGAAGAAACTATTGATATTATTAAATATATGTATAATTAAGAAGATGCGGAGTCTTTAATTGAAAAATAGAAAGGATTTTATGTTTATGGAAAAAATGCAACTTTAGCAGAAAGAAAAAAAATGACAAGAGAAGAATATTTAGGATATTAATAAGAAAAGGAAAAAGCAAGAATTGAATTTACAGTATTTTAAAAAATTATTTTAGATTTCTAACTAAAAAGTCATGAAAAATTTCTAAGAAAATTCATCCAACTATATAGAAGTGTGGATTAAGATTAAAATGGTATAATAAATGAGGTAATTATTATTAATATATTTAAAAAATATATATATATATATATAAATAATATATAATATTTATTTATATTTATATATAATATTTATTAATTTATCTTATATTTTTATATTTACAAATATATTATATAATTATTTTTAATCTATATACATTTTAGAATGAATTTAGAGATTTATTAATTAAAATGGGAATAGAAAAAGATGAAACAGAAATATAAAAAATGCTTAGTTAGGTCGATGCTTATAATAAATAATAAATTACATTTTCTTAATGTGTGACTTTATTTTCATCAGAATTGATTGTTTGTGATGGTGGAAACTAAATGTCTATATTATAAAAAATTCAAGTTTGATTATATATAAACTATTTTTTATTATTTTTTTTTTTAATTTATATTTATTTTTATTAGAAATTCTTATATGGTTAGATATTTTAATTTTGAATTTTAATTAATTATTTTTTATTTTTATATTTAATTTTTTTTAATAAAAATATTTATGCAGTTTTATAATTTCATGATAATTTCATTTTTATATCATTTTATATAAATAATTTTATATAGAATTGTCTTTGTTAATTATTTAAATTTTTTTAAAAAAAAATCTTATATATTATAAAAGTTTAATTTTTATAAATAAAATTTTTAGATACATTTTTTTAATTTATTACAATATTATAAATAAAATTTAATTTTAAATTAAATAAATTAAATATATTTATATCAATAAATTTTATTTATTTAAATAATAAATTTAATTAAATTAATAATATTTATATTTTTTTAAAAACAAATAAGAAATATTATAAGATTAAAATAATTTAATAGATTTATAATTTTAGTACATATGAATTTTATAACAAATGAGAAATATTAATATATGTAAGATTAAAATAATTTAATAGATTTATAATTTTAGTACATATGAATATTTATTTTTATTAAAGAAATCTATTAATAAATTAAAATTAAAATAAATACATTCTATAAATAATAAATAAATATTTATTTATTTAAGAAAAAAAATTATATGAATAATAAAAAAAATAATGATGATATAAAAAAAGAAAGTAATAATTAATATAAAATTTAGAAATAAAAATGGAAAAAATGTATTTTTTAGGATTTTATAAAAATAAATAATATATAAAATTTAGTAAAAAATGAATTTATTTAAAAAAAAAAAAAATGAAAGATAAAAAAAAAAAAATATATATATAAAACTTATAAATTCTAAGATATGTTTGAAAAAAAATTAATTATTATAAGATATAATAAATAAATATAGATTTATATATAGATATATATATATATTTATATTTATTAATTATTATTATTTTATATTTTTTTTATTTTCAATTGAAATAATCTATTAATTATTTTACAGATATATTATTTTTTCTATTTTGTTATTTTTTTTTAAAAAAATTATAATATATATATATATATTAAAATACCCTTTATACAATTTCCAATAAGTAATAAAGCCTTTTTTATCATAATCAATTTAATCAAATAACCTTTTATTAAATATTATTTTAAAATATGTATTTTTTTATTTTTTATAAACAATTATGTTTAATCAGCTTTAAAGTGTTTGTTTAAAAGTTAATAATTGCCATTTATATGTTGTTAAATACATAATTCAACTTAATTTCTAGTTATAAATCCTATATGATTTATATCAAGATAATTAAATAATTAAAGAAGTTTCGAATGCTATTATCCCTAATAATTACATAAATACATTAATCCATATCCAACTAAATCAATATCTAGAAAAAATTAATTATTCTAAAATAAAATTTAATACAATTATATTTATTAAAATATAAATACTTTATCAAGAAAATCAAAAAATAATTAAAAGTCTTATTAACTTTATTAAGAATATTTTTTATTCATTAAATCTTAAAACTAAATATAATTAATATAATAAGTTTCTTAATTTTAAAATAAATAATCAAACAAATCTTATGCATTACACAAATGTAAGAAAAATTTATTAATGATTAAAGTTATAACAGATTTATTATTTTAAATATCAAATATATAAAAATTAGGTATAATAATATTTTTTATAATTAATTTAAAGAAAACTTGTTAATGGAAAATCTTTTAATATTAATTTTTTATTTATTTTATTATTAAAATTATTATTATAATTATTATTATTATTATTATATTATTATTATTATTATTATTATTATTATTATTATATTTTTTTTTTTATATTTTAATTTATAACTATATTATTATAATATTAATATTATAATTATTCTTATTTAGAAACTTACATATATTATATTAATTAGTTTTTTTCAATTGCATTTGACTATAAAGAATCTTTTTTTTAAGCATTTTAATTTTTTTATTATTCTAGTTCCATTTGTTATTTTTTAATATTTTATATTATTTATTAAATATTATATTTTTTGTGTTTTTCTTCATTTGAAGTATTTTAAGTATCATTATTTATAGTATTGATAAATTTACTTTCTTGTAAAGTATTATCTCTTTCCTTTATTGAACATTTATTTTTAGAAAATCTTTATACATAATAATTTGGTTCGGTTTATATTCTTTATATTTATTCTTAATCTTAAAATTATTTTTTAAATAATTTAATTTCGTTATTATTTTAAATTAAGTATTTAGATTTATTATATTTGTTTGTATTTTCTGTTTAATATTCACTAAATTATATTTTTTCTTAATTTTCTTAATTTTTTTATTATTTTATATTGTTGCTTTATTATAAATTTATAGATGTGTTTCTTTGTGTTTCAAAAGAGTCAATTTTTATTTTTTTTTCGGCAGAATTAATTTTTATATTAGTCTGAATTTTTTATTTTATTAAAAATAAACGCAATTATAGTTGTAAATTTTAGATGTCTTTTATTTAAAAAATAAATTAGTTTTTATATAAAATAAATTTTAATATAGTATAAGATTTTATTACCTTTTTTTTATTAATAAATTCGTAGAATCATTTATATATTTTCATTGTTTATATTATTTTTTAAATATTATTTATCGTCATATACTAATTCTGTTTGTTTTATTTATATTTTATAATAATATATTATTTAATTATAATATTTTACATTAACAGCTATCAATTAACATGAAAAAGTTGGTTTAATTAAATTTAAATTATTAACTTTATTAAAGTTATTTCATTTCTAATTTTTATTTATATTTTAATAAATTTATGTTTAAATATTTATAAATTAAAATAATATATTTATATATTTTTAAATAATATTTAATAAAAGAAATTATTTGAAATTTGTAATAAAAATTTAATTCGTTATAAAGATTTTTTTATTATATAAATAAAATAATTAAAATAAAAATAAATAATAATTTATTATTTTTATATATAATAAAAAAAAAAAAAAAAAATTAATAAAGTATTAAAATCCTTTTTTCTAAAATTCAATTAATAATATATTAAAAAACACAATTTTTTTTATTCCAGACTTAATTTCTAAGTTTTAAAGGAGTCATTTTTAAAATAAGATGTATCTAATTAAAATATATAAGCATATAAATATTTTAAATAAATATATATTAAAAAAATTAACATTTTTAGCTTAAGATATAATAGATTTAACTAAAGGTTTATTTTAAATAAGCTCGTCGTAATTCATGTATTTATTTTTCCAAGGAATAGCTTTATTAAATAAAATTAGCTTTTTTTTATATAACATATTTAAAATAAATAAAAAATTTATACTTTAATAAGTTCTAAATCTCCATTTTAAATCGCATAATATAAAGGAGGTCTTCCGAACTTTAAATATATATATATAAATTAAAAATTTTAAATTGAATTTTTTTATTTAACAATATCAAGAGCATTAATATCAGCTCCATAATCAATTAAACATTTACATAATTTTATATTTCCTCTTTTACAACTCCAATGTAATGCAGTCATATATATCTATTTTATTTATAAAAGTAAAAAATAAAAATTAAAAAATTAATAAAAAATTCAAAAGTAAATACAAAAAAATATATAAATAATTGTAAAAGTAAAAAAGTATTAAAAATGAATAAAAAAGTAATAAAATATTAATAAAAAAAATAATTAAAAAGATAAAAAAAGTAATTTAAAAAAAATAATTATATATACATAATCAAAATCAAATACAAGATATTTATTTTCAATCAAAAATTCTTATACTTTATTAATATCATTAATTTTAACTGCATTAATAAATTCATAGCTTCCTTTTTTTTCAAAAGCTTTATTCGAAAAAACTTTGTTTTCACAAATTTCCTTTAAACTTAATCCAAATTAATGAACATGTTGAAGTATTCTTACTATATTTTCTCTTAATTGCTTTCCTGTTAAATTTTTTCGGAGTCTTTTTTTAACATATAAAGGTAAAAAATCATTCATTTTATCTTAATTTAAATGGCTTAAAAATTTTTATTGATTTTCTAATTTTTGTACTTATTCGTTAAAATTATACATTGTAATTTTATCATTTTCAATACTCTATATATTATTTTAAGTATGTTGTATTTCTTTATCTTTTACTATTAGGATGTTTTCTATTTTTACTTCTTTGCAAAACATCTTATATTTACTCAAAATTGTCAGAGGGTCTTTCTTCTATAAGTTTAATTAAATTTGCTATTTAATCTCTATTTTTAATGCCTATTAGGCCCTATTTTATTATCTAATTTTGTTATTCGTCTGTATTTATTTATTTAAATTTATTATTAGGGAAAGAATGTTATACTTAAATATTTGAATCTGTTGTTTTGACAAAGTCAAGAGGCTATATTAAAAATTCGCTTTCGAATTTATTATTTAGATATTAAAATTAACCATTTTTATCGAAAAAATATTAATATTTATTTTAAATAAATGTATCTTTTTTAGGATTTTAAAAATATGGTTATTTAATTATTAATTTTTATTATTACTTATTTTTAGATTATTAAAAATTATTATTATTATTATTATTTTTATTATTATTATTATTATCATTATTATTATAATTATTATTATTAATTTTATCATTTTTATTATTAGCATATTTTTAATTATTACATGCCTTATTAATATTATTTTTTAATTATATTTATGGAATGTATTTAAATTTGTTGTTTTGTGTATAATTAATTTTATTTAAAAAAAATAATGGTTATGTTTAAAAATGTTAGCATGATTAATTTGCTATTTATTTTAAATTTATTTTCTCATGTTTTAGTTATTAAACTTTTTCATTTCTTATAGCATATATATTTGTTATATTTTCATTATTTATAGATTATTTGAATAATTAGTTAAATTTTAATGATTCTAACAACTTATTTTTATTTTTTTTATT